CAAACATTTTGTCTCTTCAGCTGTATAATTTCTATCATTCTTTCTTTCAAAAGCACAATTATTCAGAATAATTCAGCTAAATTGGTTTTCACTATGATTACTTTTGAATGAAAGCTACACCATATACAGTACTGTGCAAAAGTGTAACATAAAGGCAGTAACACAGGGTTGTAACACAGATGTTGAGACAGGTTGCCAATGCAAAGTAGCTTTACTTGTGGCAGTCCAGTACTTAGTCACATCGGGCAGGGGACAAAACACAGGCAGGCAAAATAAGAGGTAGATCCATACTCCAAAAAAAAACAGGAGAAATAAGTCGGGGTCAGGAATAAGGAAAACCAACACAAAGAAATGGGCTCAGAACTTGGGAAAACACAGAGACATGGCAACCTCTGAATCAAACAAAGGGGTTTATATGAGGTAGTTAAGTCCAGAATGATTTGCAGGTGTGCAAGTGGGTGGAGCCAGGGAGAGTCCAAGTAGAATCTCCCCAGAAGGGAGAGACATGCCAAAAAGTTAAGAGGCATCCTTCATTTATTTAATTTCCAGTCCAAACAACCAATAAGTACACATTATTCTTTTTTCAGTGTTGGACAAAAACAGCAGAAAACAGAAAATTTAACCAAAGATTTTTAGAACTACACAGAAATATTTTTCAGTATTTAGTGTGTCCACCATTTGCCTTTATTACAGCTTTACATTTTTTAAAGAAAAGTCTGTGGGGACATTTTTCCATATTTCCAAAGTTCAGTCTTAGAAGTTGGTTGCACAATCCAAGTAATCACAAACATATTCAGTGATGTTGAGCTCTGGACTCTGGGGTGGTCAGTGTACTGTTCTGAGAACACCTGCAGCTTCTTAGTTTAATTTGCAAGTTTTCTTCTTTTTTGCAGCTTCTTGACAGCTGCACATCTGTTTCAGTCTCATAGTGTTGAAATGTCTTCTCACAGTGGAAGGATGGACAGTAACACCTGAAGCAAGAGTGGAGCTTGATTTTCTCCTCTCTCTCAAAGATGAGAGCTTACATACTGTTTATGTGAAGGTGTCAGTTTTGGTGGTCTACCAGGTCTTGCACGGTTGTTTGGAGTCCAAATTTCTTGATTTGGAAAATCTTGATCATTTTTTGGTTCAGGTTCGGAAACTCACTTATTCTCCTTTGACTTTCCCCTCGTTATACAAGTGTATTATATTTAATCTCCTCCAAAGTATCTCCTGAAAAATGAATCATTTTTACATTAAATAAAAAGGACAGGAAATTAAATAAATGAAGAGTGATCTCTGACTTTTGCGCGATACTGTACTTTAATGTACTCTAGGGCTAGACAATATGACGATATATGTCATTATTGTGGATATTGTCAGTACTTGTAGAACACTGACCAACTGCATGATTCTTTATAAAGAGAGCAAAATTAGTCTCACTGTATTCACAGTTTTTAATATTATTTTTAAAATGTACTACTGGTTCTTTTTTCTCTGTTCCAACTGACCAGAGATCTGAAAAAATAAATATTGTGACATATCGTGTATTACGAAAAGATTCCCTGAAGTATTGCAATAATCTATCTTTGCCAGATCACCCCCCTCTACTGTACTCCCATTTCCTTCACAAATAAAGTGGAGCATGGCTATTTATGAAGGTTAATTCAGAGAACATGTGTTAGAGTGTAGATGTAATGTCTGCAGATGCAGACAAATGTGGTTTTGGTTGAGGGCCAGAACCAAGATGCATGTAGGATGTGATGGGAGAAGGGCTTGAAGTCCCATTCCCACCCTTCATCTGCTTACAGAACAGCATATAACAACTCTACAGCATACTACCTCACTGACACATTGTGATTCTGATCACTGGCCTCAGTGATGAAAACCTCCAAGGCAAAATGGACATTCACATTCACTTAAGTCATGTCTTTGTGACTCCTTCCTACTAACAGTGCAGCAAATTACTGAATGCTATAGTCCCAAAGGCTGCGATTATAGGCCTTGCCTCACTCCCAGGTGGAAAGTCAAAAGAAGAGAATATCTGAATCAGTTCCCAAGACAGATCTCAATATTTCATCACTCATGACATTTCCTGTCCCTCATCAGAGTCTCAGTATAGGACAAAAGCCATCTGGCCCTGATGACTTCTAGCCCTGGCCTGGCCTCTCATGACTTTGAGCTACCACACAGGGGATTGATTAGGACTATTAGTCAATAATAAGGTTTTCTTATTATTACTATTACTATTTTCCACAGTTAAGAATCATAATGAAGACATCAAAACTATGAAATGAGACATGTGGGATTAAGCAGTGACCAAAACAATGATAAACCAATAAAAATCTTTCAGATTCTTCAAAGTAGCTCCTCTTTGTCCTCATGCAGCTTTGCACACTTTTATTGCTTCATTACTCAAATACATATACTTCTGTAAGATACTGATGTATTTGTACTCTCCGGCCGTTTTCCCAATCATTATACTTTTTCTTCTACTCAGGTGTATTAATGAGTTAAGGAATCCACTTTTTACACTGTTACATTTTAGTCATTCATATTTAGTTACTAATTCCTTTTTTGTGTTTCATTTAAAAAAAAATTTTTTAGTGAGAACACCTGTACTGCTTTGTAATTGGTCACACCTCTGACTTTGGAGCTTTTGCCTTTTATTTTACACCAAACATATCCCAAAAAGAGAAGAATATAGCTTAACAAATTTCTGTTGCTATGCTGATAGATGCTGGTTTTACTAAGAGGTTCCACTGCAGGTCTGTATGTTACTCAGTATTTTTCTAATACTGTACTACTACACAAGTTGTTTCTTGGGAAGATACTTTTACTTGTGTCATTATTTTATCTATGTATCAGTACTTTCACTTGAGTATTCATTTAGTCTCCACTGCCTGCCTCTGGCTGAGACTTCGTTCACCTTATGAGGGAGCATTTTTTTTGGAAGACTCCCAAGTGGCACAATTGCCCGAGTTCAATCCCCGGTGATACCACATGACCGTAAGTCCATGACAGCATATTTGGCCTGGCTCTCTCTGGGTGGGTAAGATGGCTCCCCCTTCTCTAACCATTATTCAGTATGATGCTGAATGCAGGCATCTGTCAGCTGACACAGCTGAATTGGCAGTTAATGCTCACCACCAAGCGTGTTGAGCTGTTCAGTGATTAGCAGCAGTTTGAAAAGATGCAATGTCTGACTTTATGACATAAAGTGTCTCGGAAGAAAAACATGCCTTTAACCCCCCGGATTGGCAGCATCTTGTGATAGGGGGAGACCTAGCAAGCAGGTGAAACTGGCCATGACATTATTTGGAAATAAATTGCACGCATTTACTCACAAACCTCTAAATCAAAAACTTCTTAAGATTATACAAAACATATATTCAGCAGTAGTGAACCTCATCTATTATTGCTAGGCCTTCACTTTAGGTCATAAATATCAAAACTCTGTCAAAAAGAATGAAAGGAAATACACCTATCATAATGCTAATTTCTGCTAGTGCCCTTACGGGATTCTTTAGAATATATATATATATATATATATATATATATATATATATATATATATATATATATATATATATTCTAAAGAATCTATACGGGTGCAGTTATGACAGCTACATATTATTATCATAAAGATATTATCACACTTTTTGGTGTGTCTTCAGTGGAGCTTCACCTCTGACCACTTGGCTAAATTATTTCCAAACCTTCTGTGCAGACCAAAGAATGTCTTTGTGACTGTTACGGCACTGTTATGTAACCCTCTACCTTTTATTACACCAGGTTTTTAAGATCACTCTGGCCTTTTAAATAAGAAACATGTGCATGTGGTACTAGCCTAGGTGCCATAACGGAAGATCAATCTGGAAGTGATAAATCTGGAATCATCCTAAATGCTGCTTCTTGAGGCTTGTTTGGCTGAATCCAAAAGCCAGCACGAATTGATTTTTAGTACTGCTCTTCATACTGTGTAAAAGTCATTAGTTCATGCCCTGCAGAGACCACTTTTAAGTGAGTACGGCATTTCGGATTAAGCCGATTAAGGTGTCTTATTTGTGGGGAACACAATGTCGCACCTCATTTACTAAAGGAAAATATTTCAATAACAGGCTCTTAGAAGTATTTGTTTGCTACATATTAACCCTTTAAGAGTCCAAAAAAAGCTATTTCTGCCTTTTAACCTACGTTTTCCATTCAATAATCTGGTTTCTCAGTGCTGTTTAGTTTGATATGTAAATAACATGATCTAACAAAGCCGAAAATTCATCAATTTTTATTTTGCATGACAAACTACCACTTTAAAACAAAAGAATAGGAGTATACTTCGCACTTCTGTCATCTTTCATTCTTTGGCTGCATTCACAGACTGGCATCAGTGTGTGTTCCTGGGGCTATAAACAAAACCTGACGCCCCTTTACCTAAAGCACATATCTGCTCTGCCAAAGTCATCCTCTACCAAAGTAATGTAAATTTCCATACACACCCCTTAATTCCCCTGACAGTCATCTGCTCTCAAGCATCAGGTTAAACCTTTTCCCACTATATTGTTGAACAAATCGCACCTTTAGATTTGAGTTTTTCTATAGAGATGATGGGACATAGATGATCTGAGATATATCTTTATGAGTTTTAACTTAGGCCAGGGGAAGAAGCAGGGGGTGCATTGCATGGCCACAATGTGGTAACGTAGCCATGAACATGCAATATGCTTTAGGTGGAAAAAGTGACACAGCTCTGTTCCTCTTAAGGGAAAGACAACACCCCCAAATAAAGATTTTACAGTATATGGCAAACAAATGCCAAGCTCCCTTTTGGGATTCATTTAGAGAAACCATGACTTCTCCTCAGGACCTGAGGCTAAATCCCTACTGCGCCCACTGCAGTGAGAGTTAATGGCTTTGGTCATGCTCCTGAGGCGGTTCGCATTCTGCACATGTTAAACAGAGACTCAGTGAACAAAAGGCTCCTAAAAGTCACAGACCTCCAAACTGAGGACAACAGCACATACCTGGGTCAGGCTGCGGTCCGTATAAGGGCTTTTCACAGAAAGAAAGTTCTCAACAGGAAGTAGAAGCTGCAGTCTGGCATCGATATGAAGGAGCTGGTCAAGCTCGTCTGGCTGGGGTGTGTAACCTTCACCAGATGTTGTGGGTACAGTACACAGAGAAACATTTGCCTGAAAAGAGGACAAGTGAATAGGATTAGAGCAAATACTGGAGATGTGTTAAAAGTAGAAATAGATCCTAAATGGGTACAGAAACATGGGGATAAAGGTTGTGACTAAGATTGATGAAAAGAATCTGATAAATATCACTATAAGTGGGTAACAATTTACTCAGCACATCAGCACTTAGCCTGGTTCTGTTACAAGCTATGGATCTTGATGCAAACTGCAAAATTTGACCACAATGCATCTGAAATTAACACACGATTCTGTGCTGCTGGGAGTCACACAAACTGTGCATAAGACCACCTACTCACTACACATTCATGAGGTGCAGAGTTTCAAAGGCACTACATTAAAATAAATAAATGCAACATGTAACAAGTATCAATCAGGGTGAAAGCAAATTAGCTTACTAAAGTTCTCACGGACAACATCATTAAAAAACACTTGAATGGAAAAAGCTACAGAGACAAGTGCACCATGCAAGATTTTACAACATGCTCTCAATTTAAAGATGAAGGTAAGAGAGAGGCTAGCAGTCACTCCAAAAATGTTGTAGGACATCCTGAAAGCAACAGGAATAAAATCTGCACACAAGCAATTAGACAAATCAGACCTCTAGACCTCTTTTGAAACAACGTACTCTAGTCAGAAGAATTGGGCATTACACATCATTGAAGGAAACACAAACAGTGTGATGTAGTGTGAATTTAATCATATCAGCAAAGAAACTGACTGGCGAGAATTTTGGCGTTTCAACAGAAAGGTGAAAGTGCTTCCATGGTCTAGCCAATCTCCTGACCTGAATTCCTTTGAAAAAATATGGAGGATTTTTAAATTTGCAAACCAACCAGAGGGCCCTCATAACATTGAGGAATTGAAGACAGTTTGCTAAAAAGCCAATTATGTCTTACTGTAGAATTCTCAAAGCTGTAATTGCCAACAACGGCTCTGCAGCAAAGTATTAATGTTATTAGTTTGCGGTGTCAGAATACTTTTTGCTTTTTCTTTTTTAAACATCTCTGTTTATGCTCATGAATATGTATTCTTTTGATCATATTTATAAGAAAACTGGCACAAAAGGGTTAATACTGTAGGAATGTGATGAACAAATCACCACTTTTACATTTAACAACACCACCTACCCGTTACACTGTGTGAACATTTCACGAAGAATGGACCAATCTTTTGGTCTAAAATGACCTAGAATAAAATCTGTTATATCAACACACAAAAGTTTCAGAGATCCAAGGTTGTGTTACAACAATAAGAAAATGACTTGCTATATACCATGCTATGGTATAACAGGTTTTAATACTGGGTAGTATTTGTTTATTGTTTTTGACTGTTTTATTTTGGTGAGAACTGAAACACTGCACAGAACTAAACATTACACTCCAAATGAGTATCAGGTTCTTCATCACATAAAGAAAGGTCTAGTGTTTTTCTTGCACCTGGTATTTGCCTTTGGCATTCTGACAAAACCCTTATTGCTCTGCTCAATTCCCAAGCCAAAAGCTCCTAGTTAAAAGCAAGTTTCTCACTACTGACTAACCTTCCCACCCCAGTTTCCAAATGAGCAAATCTCCCAATAGACCGTGGGCCTATGAGGCAGTGCAGTATATGGTGAGGTCAGGGGCACTGAAGGACTGAGGTAATGGTTGTCTTGCTGCCCACAGCAGGCTGGAGGGTCACTATATGTCCAAATCGCTTTGTTCCTTGCCTCTTACTATGATCTCACTGAGTGGCAATATTAGAATATGGGGAACTTTTCTGGTTGAGATTACCAATAGCAAGTGGTAACAAGTTAGCATTTAGAGCTATTTGCAATAGTCGATGGAAGGCCAATAAAACCTCTTTGAATTGAAGTGACATATTTCTGAGAAATAACAATGGGTTTTATGGGACATGGGGGCCAAATGGGACAGGTTTTAAGACAGTAAAAAGTGAACTGCAGCAAAAAGGGTCTCAGTATTAATCAATGAACTAGAACACTATTCACAAACACCAGTTCAGTCAGCATTCAGTGACTCTCTGCAGTAATGAAGAATAAAAACTTAGACATCTATTACATTTTGATTTAGCTTTATGCTTCAAATGTGATATCACAAAAATAAACATTTTGTCAGAATATTCTACTTTAATCAACTGTTTTTTTCCGTTTGCCACTTCCATGGCAACACAACACAAGATTTAAGATACAACTAAGGGACCGCCCACTACTTCCGAAGCTGATTTGCTCCTATCTGCCTAAACACCCTAAAAAAGAAGAATGATGTAATACCAAACATCTGGATGTGGTTGTGGTTGTGCTGAATATCAAGTAGCCCTTGGTTGCTGTATTATGATGTGTGGAGAAAACACCAAGAGAAAAAAGTGGATGGAAGCACATCAAGCAAGAGGAGGACAAAGGTCAAGAATGCAATTAAAGATTATTAAGTTGCTTGTTGAGAATATAATGAGTGTAAGTAATGCTTCTCTTTTCCTGGAAATCTACTATTATCAAATAACATGACCTAGTTTAATGCAAACAGATTCTACTTTCCTTATATGTAGGAAAGACATAAGACAAGGAAATCCTAAGACAAGGATTGTATTATTGCACTGTAAATGGTGAAGATTAAGGCAAGATGAACGTCTTTATGTATGAGCAAGTAGACTTCAGTTGCATTAAACTAGGTCATGTCATCGTTTAGACAGCATTATCTGATTAGTAGACTGTTGATAATATTCAAGCCACAAACCAGAAATTAAGACATTTTGCCCAATTAGATATTTTGCCCAAATTTGTTAGCCCTACCCCTTGATAAAAAAACACTGCACTACACCAAAAAGAATCCTTGGGCAACACTACATTTGCTTACCTCTGTTACATGTTTAAAATGTGTGCCAAATGCATAAATGCAAATGTACTATTTTCCCCTCACCCTATATGGAGTTAATCAGCCAAAAGGTTAGCTTTAGCATCAGCATAGACATTTCTTTATAGTGTATGTACATGTACATTTAGGGCTAAATTTTGGGCTAAAATTTGTAAACACTGTATTATAACAGCAGTGATAAGTAATTTTGCCATTACTGAAGAGAACACTTGTAAAATATGATTGGTGTACAACTTAGGAGGTCTGATTTGATTGGTCAGTGTTAAACAGCAGAGGATTGCCAGCTCCCCTTATGTTAGAGAATCTCTGGTTAAGGATGATTAGGTATACGTTTTTATTTTTATTCCTACAAAAATTCAGTTCATTTCCAGTTTCTGTTTTCCATTTTCCGAATTTGTTACCAAACTAGTTTTAAGATCATCAACCATCTCCAGCAACTCCTGTCTGAAGAGGAACGTTTCAAATAGCACTCAGGCGTAAAGATATCCCTGCCACAGGTAGAAGTCACATTTTAACGCCTTTGGGAAACGATTCCGGACTGACGGGCTATAAAACACAGAAGAGAAGAACAGGAGGCATCTGTGTTTGATTATGAGGTCATATCGAAGCCTGCCAAGACCCTTCTGTGTCTGGTCACTCACATGTCACCGCGAAGGGCCAAAAGACATCAAAAATGTCTGCAGTGCGCACAACAACAGGGTCTCGCAATAACAGGAAGTCTTTTGGTGTGACCCTTCAGGAGGCCTCTGAGCATCTGTATTGCTCTCTGTTTGGTTGCCATGCATAATTGCAGATGAACGAGTTGCAAAGGGAAGAAGGACACCATAAACGTAGCAGCCAGCTCCTTTGGCAACACGCTGCACAGTGAAAGAAGCTGCAGTACGCAGCATGAAAGGGGGAAAAAAATGAGCTAAATAAAGCCTCTAGTTAGCATTTATCAGAGTGGCTTCCAAACTCTCAGCAAGTGAAGCATACATCATATGCATAGTGTAAAAATACATAAGAAAATCCAGTTACAGACTACCGAAGAGTATGCTACAGCTCACATACTGTTTCAATTATTGGCTGACGGAAAGGAAAATGTCATTTTTTGACGTTATGTCTCAGAACGACCATTCACAAATTTCAAAAACAGTGAATAAAGTATTGTAAATGTGTGCTGGAGACGGTATAGATAGTACAGCTATACTAACAAACCTATTCTTTCCTTGAGTAGATGCCTCAAAGTGGGTTAATGGAGAAAAACAAAGGAAATGGACAGATGAGGTCTTGGCACCAATGATGGAGTAAAGAATGTTAATTTAAACCCAATGATAGTCAGACTTGGAAGTTCCTAGCAGATCACAATAAAAACCCAGATAAAATGCATTCGCTCTCTACAGCTATAAGTAGGGCACACAGCAGATCCATTATTCTACAATAACTACTTTATGCCAATATATTTTCAGTGTTTCAAAATAAAATTCATTTTATAAAACAGATAGTTCTAATTGATCTGACTGGCTGAGCCGCGTTCAAAGCCATTGTAAAATCCATGATTTACGCACACCTATGACCGCCTCATAGTGACTGAATTCTGTATTACTGCACCACAGCACAAAAAATCCTTGTACAGTTAATGGAATAATCTTTGACTCTAATGCTGCACGCAGGAACCACCAAGTGTACTGACGAAGTAAGAACCCGTTTTTTGTTAAAACTGAGCAGCTGGCACCTTATTTTCTTAACTAGAACTAGGTTGGCCAGCTAGCTAACAGGCTACACGATAGTTAACAGCCTAAAGAACTCCATCATTAATATCACAGGCTTGAATTGAAGTACTTATGATTCACTGTAAAAAGGCAATATAAAACATTAAAGAATGTCCCTTGAATTACTTACACGGTTCAAATGTTTGTGTTTCAGTCAGAAGTAGCGTCAAACCCAGGCAAATCCCTAAATACTGTGCTGGCTTTGAAAGTTTAGAAAGTCTAGCCTCTGCAGCCAAATAGTGCATCATTTATTGAGTATGGATGTTGCTGAATCCTTAATGACTATTAGGGATTTTAGCTATATTATTCACTGTTGGGCTGCAGGAACTGGTGTTGAAATTACTGCGTAGTGCACTACGTAGGGAGCAGGGACCCATTTGAGATTCAGCCCCAGGAGGGGCGCCGTTGGATTGGTGCTATGGTAATTTGATGACCAAAAAGTACTCATAAAGCAAAAGTTTTGCATTAAACAGTGCTGTGTTATCATATGTTCATTGTTATACAACAAAAAGTTTAAAAGCTCATGAAATGATTGCAATACACAGCGATAGGCATTCTTCTCCTTTTTCAATGGTCCATGGTTGTTTGGCAATGACACCATACCCTAAAGAAATACATGTTTATGTCGAATATTATTAATAACTTTTTTAAATTGTTGTCTGAAAAGTGTGTGTTGCGTCGTGTCTTCCCCGTGATAAAATCGCAGTAACGCATGGCCTCTTGTGGCTTCATTATGCATTTACGCCTCCCAAAGTCTAAAAATGTCAGGTAGTGTGACCATTCAACCATATCTGCAGATTAACTATTACAAAAGATCATTTAGTCAAATTAAAGTCAAAATAAACAGTTTGGTATGATTTTATGTTTGAAACCTTTAAAATTAAACCATGTTGCTAAATAAGGCAGCTTTAAAAGTATTTAACTCATTAAAAAACTGTATAGTCTGTAAATTCTGATTGCCTCAAATGTCACATGGCACAACCACTAACAAAGGACTTTTATTCTGGCACGCTTATAAGAAAGAGTGGACAGTGTATTGCATTTTAAAGAAGATCTCAAGAGGCCTTTAACATGCAATGCAAAGGTCAGTAGCCCTTTCACAGATACTAAAAAAGTGTTGGTTAGGCTGGTTCAGTTTACCATGTCAGGCGGTGTGACTCCAGGAAAACCATAAAATGTGTTATTATTATAATATTTTCTTTTTCTGTTGTTCATGGACAAAGGTTTCTACGGGTGTCCAAGTACAAAGACTGATTTATACATTTCCAGTAATGTGAAAGTATAAATGTAATAATGTGTGGTTATGCCATGTGACATTTTCTGAGTGGTAAAGTTACTGTGTTTATGAATTTATACCACTATGTAAAAATATGTTTAAACATATCAAATAGATTCTTGCAGATATAAAAATGCACAAGGCATATTTTTCAATATTTTTACATTTATTTGTAATACTTTTTGAATTTAGAATTTTTAAAATGATCATTTTGAAATCTCAGATTTTTCAATGACCCATTTACAGCATATGAAACTATTCAGGACTTACAGAATAAGTGTCAATGATCATTCAAATAATATTACTTCTCAGCCCAATTTTCTTCCCAGTACATAAATAAGTACTTTGCATTTCTACATTTGTAAAATGAAGCATAAACAAACTGAAAGGGAGAAAAATCAAAAGCCAAATGAGCAACATAAACAATTAATCAAATCAAACCAAGACAGTGTGTACACACCCTTTGCAGCCATGAACTCTGCCTTAGGGCTTGCCAACACATCATTTATCAAAGAAGAGTGTAATTCCTCTAATTCATCTGAGTTGCAATGGGATGACTGACCAGGCAAGATAAGACATGTGACCTGCCCTTCACATCTCAGACAACATCTTAACAGCGTAATAGTACCCTAGACACAACGGAGAAAAATAACCTTCCTAATACAGAACATATTCTCGCAGTCTGAAGTGTACCTGAGGGTTGTTCAGCGGCTCAACATGAGCCTCCTCTTCTTCTAAGTCCTTGAGAAGCTCCTCTAAGCGCTCTTTCTCCTCCTGAGTCACCAGTATGAGACTTCCCGCACCACCTGCAAGCTTCCTCATTTCCACACAAACATCACATCATCTTCAGCATGGACGGACTGAGGGTCCAGCACAGGAATAAATGCCATAGTTCTGCTTTTGCAGCAATTATACAGACAAACAAACAAAATCTACACAAACTACCCCAAATGTCAAGATATCTTTAGTGCCCAAGGTTTGCTTGTTTAGTTTTGCACTGAAGCTTTAAGAATTCAACCACTGAGATGTAAACAAAGTCATTCAGAGGGTTTGATGTGAAACAGTTCATCATAGAAAGACTCTCTGCAGTGGTGGTAAAAGGAACCAGGGGTGGTGATGCCTACCACACAGATATATAAGCCATTTATTTACTATCCAAAACCAATAGTGAACCTACACATGTCTTCTGAGTTTTTATATGTAATGTTGATAATGGTAAAACAGTGGTGCGTGAAAAAAAAAAATACATTTCCTTTGGGACTATTTTGTCTTACAAAAGCCCTACATGAAAACTATTTGTCCTGGCAATAAATATGTTTTTGCTTGTAAAATCACCATATATCATTAGAATAGAAGTAAAAAAAGCATAAATACAGTAAAAAGTAATTAGAATTTCTTATTGTGAAATCATTTTTCTTATTGTAGATCATATCTTGTCTTCCACTTTAATGAACACAGGTTTGGTTCAAGATTTCTTTTGGACACTTATCACCAGCACACTTAATTTAACATATGAAGCAATGATTAGCCAAATTGGGCAATAAACACAAATAATACTGGGCTTCTATGAGGAGAGGTTTGGAAATGGTTAAACGGTTGATACAGACCACTACTGAAAAAGCTTTTATTTTGCATTCTTTTCTAATTTCATACAAAGATTTTTGTTTTACAAATTCTATCATCAGTATAACAACTGAGTGACAAGTAAAATCCTTGAAATTTGAACATGAATTTCAGAATTTTAGTATTTGGTATGCACTCCTTTTGTTTAATGACAGTGTGGATGTGAGCAAGTACAGACTCCACAAGTTTGTGCAAAAGCCTCTGATGAGTAGATCAAGTCTTCCAGAGAGTCATCAGAACACGAGCCTCAGTGGAAGAAATAAGATAAAAAATCGGACCTCTTAAACAAAAGACTCCTGATCATAAACTGGCTTACATTTCAACTTTAGACCTAGAAATAGTGCAGAATCTTAAATAATTCTTCTTTATTTTACTTTTGGACCCCACTAAACATAAAATCAGTAATTAATATGTTAATATTATTAGTATTTAGTGTAATATTGGTTTTTTCCCAGAGAAATAAATGATAACTGACCAGAAAAACTGCTTTTAAGTTTCTCAGGTGCCTTGAACTTTTGCACAGTACTGTACATCTCCCAGTAAATGGAGTTTAAAAAATACACTTTAGGCCAAACTCTTATCGCAACACTACTGGAACATGATGTTTCAGGCATCAGGCAGTGTATTTGTAACCATTTTGTGAAATAGCTTTCAGTGATTAAACTCTTCAGATATCTGGTTCCTATCACCACCACTGTGAATAATTCTGACTCTGCAAGTTTCTCTAGAACAGAACATTTCACATTAAACCACTCTGACTGACTCTGCTTACATCTTAATTAAATTATGCAAAAAGCTTCTACCTACTAATTAGCATTGTGCAAACTGCGTGTCTAAATAATCACACGTAAATAATCTTGCTTATGTAGTTTAAAAATACAAATATAGGACAAAGTACACATAAACTACAGCCTTGAAGATGCCTATACTATTGTTTTTAGCTTTGCAACATTTTTGTCCATTTTATAGAGAGCTGTGTCAGAAACCACATAAACTAGTCTATTTGCGGCCTTGTAGCTCAGTTGGTAGCGTATGGAGCTACCAATGCCAAGAACATTGGTTCAGTTCCCAGGGAGCAGACATAGTGCATATCACCCCTGTACTGTAAGTTGGTTTGGAAAACTAAATAATGCAAATTTGATTTTTCACAAAACTACCAAGTAAGGACTTAAATGTAACAATGAATGAGAATTTTTTTTGCAGACTACAAACTCATTATTACAGGCTGATTAATACATTATCTTTCCTTTTAATTTACAGTCCTCAAAAGTAGACTTGGGATACTCTCCAAATACAATCTATATCTTTTTTATTTACTACTTTCCAAGACAAATGTATAATTTATTCATCTGTATACATCAGAAACGGACAAACAGCATCTCTGTCCTTTATGTAGGTCAGTATGTAGTATTTTATTGAGGTCAGTGTGTTGTTGTGTATTTCGTCTTTTGGATGACAGCTTGAAGTGTTCTAGGCATGAGTGCATAAGTTTGCAAAACTGATGTTCAGCCAGGCTTGTTGGATGTTCACTTTTGGGTGGACAGAGTGTGGCAGGTTTTACAAATGTCCTGTCTCCTGTCTACTGCTGCTCTATATTTTTCACTCTGGAGTTTCAGTGGATCTGTAGTCTTTCTCAGAGACATTTTATTACCAAGAGACAGAGTTTTCTTTGTGACATTAATTCAACTCAATATTTAAGCTTTCTTAGTTTCTTTCAGAATGTTTAAGAAATTTAGAGTGAAGAGAGTTGAATGGTACGTTAGAGATCTCTGATTTGAACATATGCATTTGGATTAGTGTCCCAAAGTTTGTTCTGAAGTAAAATGAGTGTTTAGGTAAATATTTTTTAGCTTGCTATAGACTAAATCAGAATGTTTGTAAGCATGATGCTTGGCTATACTTGCTTCCAGTCAGCATGGAAGCAGCTCAATTTACAGCACAATTTACAATAAATAGACATATAACAGGCAAAACAGTGGCAATAATGTCTTTTAGAAGTGTTTTAGGCGGTAATGTCAAACGTACCCAAGTACGTCACAGATTTAATACACTCAGCTTTCAATTTAACAAACAAACTCTTAACAAGGACGGTTCTTCAAGGGATTTTTCGAAAAGGCAGTGGTTTTTCTATTGTTATGATGTCAAGCTTATAACAATAGAAAACCTTTTTGGTGCCAAGTAGAACCATTTTCAAAAAAGGTTCTATATATAACCATTTCTGAAGAACCATTTCACCATTCAAAAAAACATTTAGGCATGAAACTCTGAATAGATATGTTGTCTTTACTAAAGACCCCTTGAAGAACCATCTTTTTTAATGAGCAGGTAACTTTAGTAGTAGGATCCTCTGTCTTTGCTAACACCTGCAGCTGAAGCTAATAATAATTTAGCACTACCACACAACCAACAAGAGCACCAAAATGTAAACTAGGACAATATGTTTTGTTAATATGCTATTTTTATAATTACTACTACTATAACTTTGTGAGGAGTCTGATATAAAGCAGCATAAGCTAGTTAAGGAGCTAACGCTAATAGCATTTATGCTAACGACCACAGAACAAGTGTTTTAGCTCATACTGAATCACACATGATTCTGTGTAAGAGATTTATCTGAGTGCGTGTGCAGAACAGTGCAGTATATTGTTTCATATGAGCCTATATGTTAAGTTAACTAGCAAGTGAGGTAGCTAATTAGCCAAATTAGACGTTTTAGAGTTACATAAACTGACCAAAAAGACCATTCATTTGTTAACTGTAGATAACAGTTCCAGCTGTCTCTTGAGTAGAAAATGAACTTGAGCAGGTAGAAAATTAACTAGGACTTAGCTAAACTTCAAGTTAAAATGAGCTGAAAGAATATATATATATTAATAAATAATTCTGAGGATTAGTACAAAATCCTATTGCATTAGTGCAGCGCTACCAGAGCCGGTTTACGGGGAGTCTGGCCACTTCCTATTAACCCCTTATATCAAAACATGACTGTAAAACAGCAGAGGGCACCCACGAGCTAGTCCTCAATGAATGGGGGTGAACGGAACTAAACGGCTAAAAATGAAACCACTTGCCCAGAACCTTCCTTTAATTTTAGGAAGTAGAAGGATGTATTTCACTAAAAAAGCAAAGAAAACTCACCTGTATGTTTCCTTTTTTCTACAGCAAGCGGGTTTTCAGCAGCACAACGCCAGCATTACTGCTAGTGAGCGCCAAATGGTTGGTGAGCGAAGCAGCTCAGTGGCTGTTTGCGCTCACTGCCGACATGAACGTACATGAGGTGCCGTTGTAAACTTCTACAACACGAGTTCAAAAGTGTTCAAAAATATAACAGTGGTGTTAAAATGTTTTATGCTGTTCTGTGTTCAGGATATGGATGCATTCTTTAAGCATTTAAGCATTTATAAACTATGATTTTACTCAAATCCTCCTTATTAACCCATTAATTTTGAGCTCGCTCAGGAGTGCCCTCTAGCATTTGAGAAACCCGGAAGACATTACAGAGTGGTAACTCTCCTCACTACAAGTTCTCTGGTGCTACCCGTGTTTTCCACTCAGAAAAAAGTTCTTTGCTGCTGTGATGTATTGTTGTTTTGTCCTAATTTCAAGACGTTTCTCAAAACTTCTTTTGAGCACTGTGCTTCTGTTAATTATTCTGAATGTGAAAAAGTGGCTGACTTGTTCAGTCACCCATATAGCCCTTGAACGGACATGAAGTCAACATACCTCAATGTTTTTCTTGACAAAATCTTGTCTGTGCTTGCTCTTGCCATTCAAGGTCTGTCTGCTGTCTGTCTGCTTGTCTCGCCTCACCTCTTGACCCCCTTCTACAGAGCCTGAAGACTCAGAGTGCACTTCGACCTCTGTGTGGGGTCATGAACATACAGGAGACAGATCAAGTAAGCAGTACATTCAGCAGACAGTTTGAACTTCAGCTCTAAAAGCAAAAGGATGGGGTTTAACCAAGAGCTGTAAATATCTGAAATATCTATATCTCAAAATCCAATTATGATCCATTAGCAAACTCAAATTTCAACAGAATTTGATTAATTTAAATAATTAGAGTGAACGCACAAATGTGACAGGAAGAGACACTTGTGCAAAAGTTTGGGCCCCCAGGTCAAATTACATGTTAAGTTGATTTTCTAAATGAAAATAAGAAGTCAATGCATCCCCTACAGAGAACACACTTCGGCACATTTTTATGTACAATTACATGTTTGCAGAATTTAACATATTGGGGAAAAAATAAAACAAAAAATCTGAAGTTGCAGAAGTTATGGCATCTTTTCTATTTTGTTTTTTTTTCCCCAATATATTGAACTCAGAAAATAAACAGAAATTGTGCAATAGGTTAAATTGCTGAAACATTGATAGGAAAACACCATATTTAAGTTTGTTCCCTATAGAGAATGTGTTAACTTATTTTCACTCAAAATCAACAAAACATCTCAACTGACAGGGGTGTTCAAACATTTGCATACAACTGTTTTTACACAGACATTATGATTAAACCCAAAGAACGGAGATAAAACCTCTGGAAAGACTCAACAAAATGGAGAATAAACACATATAGCACTCACTTTGGTCTACTGAAACCACTGGTGTAAATGTAAAGGAGCATAAGTAAATCTTTCTTCCTATTTGTACTAATGGTCCTCATTATTTGTCAGAGTAATCCCTCTTTAAACATTTAAACAGATCTTTCCATTACTTTCTCTTGAAATCTCTGAACAGCCATGAAAACCGCCACCCCACATCAAACAAAACTGCAAACATCTGGAGCATGAATGGATATAATTATTTGTGAGGTTAGGACTCCCCCTAGTGCACAATCAGCAAAATTGAATCAGGTGCTGATCTACACTGAACACAGTAAGCCACATGTGTCAGGCTCTACTCCTCACAGGCCAAAACACTGCAGACTTCAGCACACTGCCTCATTAAACACAGCTCATCAGCTAATTAGCAATGCCTTCATGAACTGAATTCATGTATGTAATGTAAAACATTATATATTATAAATAGTTCTTGCCTTCATTTCCCAGCCTGAGGCTCAGGTCATTCTCTTCATCCGGAACTTGGGTCCCAAACACAGGTGTAAAGTCCACTTCTTCACTGCAGCCCTTGGCTACAAGGAATATACACACAATTAAAGGGGACATATAGGGCTGGGCAATAAAACGATAACGATAATTATCGCGATTTAACTTTTCCTTGATAGAGTGATACGACATGTTCGATAAATGTTCGATGTAATACACCATTCTCACACTCTCACGTTCAGCGAAAGCCTTGGAGGCGTTTTCTACTGCAAGGAAGGCGACACTACTCTGCTGTCGCCAGGAGAGGGCGCACTTCCGAGTTTTTCTACATGATTAGAGAGGGAGGGGGTCAGGAGTAAGATGAGTCTTTAGCAGAGTTATACATTCCCTGTTTGAGTGGAGCGACCGACAATCTGCTCTCCTGTGACCGAGTGTGAGTGACGAGGTCAGTGGTGTAACTGTACTGACCTACAGCGAACTCACCTCTTTCTGTACATCCTAACCAGCTTTAGCAGCGTTAAATCACAATCCTCACAACTAAAGCGCTGTTGCAGCGCTCGGGCAGTCATATTTTAGTATTAGTGCATTCCCAAGCAACAAAAGTGAAAGAAAGAAGTGGGTTCATGTAAATTACAGCTTCGATTTAAATGAAAGTAAACTGAGGAAGCTGTGAGGCATTGGAGAGCGGGGGAGCGCTATCTTTCCAGGCTAGCTGTTTTTAGCAGCTGGCTAACTTGAAGCTGCACTCTGTCACTCCAAAACACGGAGAATTGATGATACTGTAGATCAAACACGACACAAAAGCACCGCTTTCAGTTTAAACCTAAAAGGAGGACTCTGTTTGTCTAGTGTTGATATTTTGCAGTTCACCACTTAAACTACTACAATTGAATATCCAGTCGTCGCTAGCTGGTGTTTGAATACTGCGATGTCATTTGTAGCGGGGTAGCCGAGCGCTCGTCACCAGCTAAAAATAATCTGTTTTCTTTCTTAAGTTATGACTATTACAAAATAGCCATGCTTTTCCAGCTGATAAAAACAGCTCAGCAGACACTTTCTCTCACTCTCCCATGCCAGATTTGTGAAATGTTCCACTGTTTGATGAGTGTTTGTCGTGTTCCGACCATAAAGGATAGTTTAAAACAGCAATTAACCACCCAGGAGCAAAAATCAGCCTTCAACCTTTAAAGAAATAATGATTTGACATTTATCGCGGTATGTATCGATATCGAACGATATGAATTTTGTTTATCGTGATAACATTTTTGGCCATATTGCCCAGCTCTAGGGACATATCCCAAAGATTTCTTACATTTTATTTTTCCCTCACTTATAATGTCTGTGTGGGTTCATTCATTTTACACAACCATTTCAAACCTTTATGCCAATGATCTCTGTTCTAATTAGCTGCTCTGTGCCTTATTCAAAATCAGTTGAAACACTTCTTATAAGTCCAATGTGAGTGGTTGGGGCTAAACTGTAAGGTCACTGCCGGGAACAAAAACTCGCATCTACATTTTTGTCTTTTTAGCATTTTTTTCACAAGATTGTAAATTGACAGTTGCCCATAACATTGTATTGAAATTATGAATAGAGCAAGAGATATGGCCCACAGTTACTTAGAATGAGATCTCATTCCATTAAGTTCAATTGAAAGCCGATAATATCTCTTCCTTTTCTTTAAAGTTACTTTATAGAGATACATATCTCATCCCGACAGCCAAGATATGTAAATGCATTGGTTTGCTTGACAACACAAACATGTTGAATTCAAAACTGTTTTTGCAGCTTAGTTTCCATATTTGGACTTCATGGACTGGAGAGTGAATGTTACATTCTGAAATTTTGACAAAATTAAGATATCACATATTCCATAATGGTGGCTCTGCAAGCTTTCTTTCACGTATCACTTTTACTTTGGATTTGAATAAAAGGAGTACAGCAGCTTTTATGTAATATTGAAAATATAGGTTTGACTGTTATTGTCATGGTTACTGTTAATATGTAAAACAATATCCACAAAAGCAACTGATTACCTTTACGGATTATCCATTCATATTACAATTAGGTAATAGAAAACACTATGCACATACGAAAACACTATGCATGCAATGATTTTGAAGATTTCCCTCTGTTAGCAGGACTTACACGTGCTGGAGGTTAGTGCCAAGAACAAGCGGGTGTTTTCTGCCTCATCACTGCACTCTGCAGTCCTTTCGGTTTTGAGATCCTACGAAGTGTGTCAAAACAAAAGAGAACACTATAGACTGCATCCTTGATGGAGGTGGATGGGCATTTGCAAATGAAATCAGGATTCTGCTTCTATGGAACTTCATTTGCATCTAATATTACCTCCAGTTCTTGCCAAAGTTTCTGGTGAAGTTCTCTTCCTTGCTTTTTCACTTCTTTTTCATTGGAGATCCTCATAGCCAATATCCTGTCTAGTCTTTTCATTTTCCTGATGGCTTTTAGTAACTCTGGATCTTCATTTTCTTCATCAGATACATCTGCAAAGCAAACAATCCAGAAGGGGTATCAAGATGGTTGATACTGGGTGAAAAAGAAACAAGTTCACCTTTTGATTTTAAACTATGTTGCTTATATCAGCTTCATGTTCTATAAAGTTATGAGAAAAGAACACAATTTTAGTGTGTGTGTTGTTTTTTACGATCTCAGTTCTCCAGTACAATGACCATGAGGTTAAAATGAACAATGTCAGCTACAATAGAAGGTATTTGCATCTATATTTTAAGATCATATATGTGGTGAGTGGCTGTGATTCCTATATAATTCATAATTAATGTAAAAGTATATAACCACAAATTAATGTTAATGTTCTGCTCTTTATCTTCATAGTAGCTTCACTTCAAATCTGGAGTACAAAGTTAAAATACCACTATAAATGCAATATTATTTTAAACCACACAATTGCAAATGCTGGGGCCAGTTTTAACATTTCTTTTTGTATATGTATGTGGTTTACATTCTGTAGATTTACATTTGTTGACCTTTAAGGACATAGAATCTTAACACCAGGTTTCTACCCTGAACAGAACTACATAAACAAATGAATATTATTTCCCCCCAGTAATCACCTACCTTGACCAGGAGGCACATTTTCTGACATGCAGTCTGAGTTATTATCCTGTTCACTCCATCGATCCTAGTATAAGAGAGATCTGACATCAACTTGGGGACTGCTGTTCATTATCTGCTTGCAGAAGGAGGCCAACTCTACCTGTGTTTCTGAGACTTCTGGGCTGAGGACCTCCAAGGACCTTGGCCTATCCTGGCTCACTTTGCCTACCTCAGAGAGAGACACGCTGGACACACGACTCCCAGCTCGAGAACGTTCACTGGAAGCTGGCCGAGAGATGTCATCCAGACTGCCCTTTGTGATGTCCATTTAATATCTGCTTAAATTAATATAATCACAAAGCATGTGAACAGCAGGTTAAACATATAGAAGAATCAGAATCAGAGAAAAAAGTTCTTGTACTGCTAGTATATGGAATGTCTATAGACTGAGCAATATAGTTTAGATAAGTTTTCATAGCTAGATTAGCTAACTTGGTAAGGACCTTTCGGTGGCCTCGATACTTTTTCAAACCATGTTTTGACTGAAATAGAAGCGTCTGATGTTACTACTTACTTTACTACTGTTACTACTGTTACTATTTACTTTTTTAGGTTTAAATGCTAATTTTTCAACTTTTTACTGGTCCAAATGAGTCTGCACAAGTTAAAAAAGTAAGTAACTGAGTTAACTTTTAATATTACCAGAAAAATTATTTGTGTTTTACATTCATTAATTGATTGTTTGAAGTTCAATTAACTCAACATGTCAAGTCAACACGGTTACGTACTTTTTTGAGTGTAAAAGCTGCATATTTTTACAGTGTAGGAGATCGAAATATCATACATATAGTTTTAATGCTGGTAATATTTTCTGATAGGGTGCTTTACGCTGTCAAAATATCCTACATATAGTTGTAATGCTGGTAAAATCTTCTAACAGAGTGATTTAGGCTCTAAAAATGTCCTATAAGTTATATAGGGAACTTCCTATAAACATGCACAAATATGGTAGCGTAGGACATTTCGACAAAGTAGCACAACTGCACGCCGCTTTCAAAAAACGCAGTGACATATTAACCCTTTATCCTAATAAAGCATGAACACACTCATGGCTTAAACCGAAAAGCTTAAAGAGAAGGGCCCCGTGTTCGGCCCTGTCTGGAAGTTAAGTCTGTAGCTAACGTTAACTGAGCCAGAAAAGATGTCATCACAAACCTCAGCCTGAGACTGAGGCAGGCTAAGTTATCTGAAAGGAGCTAAACTAATCTTTACTAAAAGACAGCAGAATCGTAAGATTTATGCGATATTACAGCTGAAAGATGTTATTTTATATATTTCTATACTAAACTTACTGTTATATGTCTCACGTGAAGTTCATAGGAACTGTTTTTGTTTACTTCCGGCGACTTGGTATCCAAGGGCAACAGCTGGGGTTGCCAGTCGTCTATCCTGAAATCCCCGTTTGAGTGGTGTGAACGAAACAGCGTGACTGCGGGCACAGATGAGTAGTAAACTCACAGGTACCAAAGTGCTGTAATTTCGGTGTAGAAGAAAATACGGAAAACAAGTAAATAACTTTTTTGTTTTGAGGAGGCAGCAAAAAACCCAGCGCAGCGCTACAACTACTCACATAAGCGTAAGGCAGGAGAACACGACCTAGGATGAATTCTAACTACTAGCAGAGGTGTAATTAACGAATTACATTTACTCTCGTTACTGTAATTGAGTAAGTTAGTTTTCCCTGTAATGGTACTTTTAGGAGTAGAATTAAATCATAGTACTTTTCCTCTTACTTGAGTTAATTTTTAATGAAATATTTTTACTTCGCTACTTTAATTTTCATAACGTTACAGAGTAAAAATAAATTATGAGCGTATAAATTCAGAAACCTATGGGAACAAAGAGCGGTTAAATTGAAAAGCTTCACCAATCAAAAAACAATAGCTCCGGCAGGAAAAGCATCACAGAGACGTCCAGTTTAGTGGAGAAGGACCGAGGAGAACTAAACCAGCACAGACGAGGAACAGGCCGCGTCCAAACGGTCATCTGTATTCATTTTCTCATGAACTAAAGAAAACGGCGTTATTATCAGCGGCCAAACACGAAACCTGCTGAGATCCGCTCTCATAACTCGACTCCAGCCTGAGGGAGCGTTAGCCGAGCTAGCTGATCCGAGCTAAACAGGTACCGTGTTCACGGGTTTCTTCTTTCTTTTATAATGTTTCTGTTTATTAAACTTTAAATTTGCTCAAGTTCAAGTTTGCTTTATTGACATGACAAATTTACATTTGTATTGTCAAAGCACAACAAAAATGATCTATATATTAAAAGTTAATAAAAAAACAAACAAAAAAATAAACAAAATACAAACCAAGATTAATGTATGATAATACAATTAAGAAGAGAAAGTGTTAATTATCAATTAATAATATAAAAGTATATGTAATATTCAGTAGGTTTTGTATTATTATGTGTATGTAGTTTATAACAGGAAAGAGAAGATGTAACGTGACAGAACCACTCAGACGCTTGCAGATAAAAAGAACAAAAAAGGCTTTACTGTTTGAATCATCAATCAAAATCATTGTCAAGAAACAGGCACAGGTCAAATCCAGAAAGGGCAGCAAGTAAAGACACACAAACATAACAAGAGGCAAACACAATCCAAAAGGGGTCAGGCAAAAATGGGTGAGTCAAAATACAGAGGATAAGTCAAAACCGGAAAACACAACACAGGAAATAAACACTCAGTAGCTCTAGAAAGAAACAATACCTCGCACTGAACTGTTCTAAAAGCCCGGGCTTTATATTAAAGCTAATGAGAGCTCAACAGGTGTAACAGATCAGTACTCAGGAGAGAGAGATCTGTGATATGGTGGAGGATCAGGAGTCATGTGATCTCCCAGAGGATTCTGGGAGATGGAGTCCAAGGAAACCTCTGAGCCATAGGGACGCGTGACAGTAGCCCCCCCCAAAGAGTCCAGGGTGGCCTCGGAACATCTCTCTCCTCCGGAGGGGGTGGAGTGACATCCAGCGTGGCCTCGTCCAATGGCCCTGAAATAACAGGTCTGAGGGGTGAGACATGAAAAGACTGTGATACTCTAAAACGGGAGGGTAAGTCAAGTTTGTAAGTCACTTCATTAATATGTTTAAGTACTTTAAATGGGCCAATATACTGTGGCTGCAGTTTCCTACTTCCCTCAAAGGCCCTGAAGTCTCTTGTTGAGAGCCACACGCGATCTCCAGGGTGATAGATGGGTGTCTCTCCTCGGTGATGATCCGCTTGCTCTTTGTTGCGTTGTAGAGCAACTTTGATCCTCTGATGGGTCGCTTCCCAAACTCTCTCACTCCGTAGCATCCAGGTGTCCACTGCAGGAACATCTGTCGTAGTGCCAGTCCATGGTGCTACAGGAGGTTGGTAACCCAGTACACACTGGAAAGGGGTTAATCCTGTGGCAGAGCTGATGAGTGAATTTTGGGCGATTTCGGCCCACAGAAGGAATCGCGACCAGTCTGTCGGATTATTATAGCAAAACAGTTGAAGGAATTTACCCAATTCCTGATTAATGCGTTCACACTGACCATTGGATTGAGGACGATATCCAGATGTCAGGCTGATAGAGACCCCCACGTGTTCAAAGAACGCAGACCAAACCTGCGATGTAAACTGTGGGCCTCTGTCAGATAAAATGTCCTCAGGGACACCAAAATAACGAAACACCTGATTGAAAAGAGTCTCAGCACTTTGAAATGCAGTGGGGAGTGAACTAAATAGAATGAACCTGACGCTGCGTGAAATCTGTCAATAACTGTGAGAATCTTGGTAAAACCTTGTGATTCAGGCAGATCAGTGACAAAATCGATAGCAATGTGAGACCAGGGTCAATTAGGTACTGGTAAAGGAACTAGTTTTCCGGCGGGCAAAGTCTTAGGAGTCTTACATTGGGAACATACAGAACAAGAAGCAACAAAAGAGTGAACGTCTTTCTTCATGGTTTCCCACCAGTACTGATTAGACAAAAGCTGCTGTGTACGTGTTTCCCCTGGGTGTCCAGCTGTGAGAGAGGAATGGGCCCAGGTAATCAACTTGTCACGAAACTGGTTGGGGACATAAAGCTTTTCAAGGGGACACTGGCTAGGAATTTGAGTACCTTCTAATGCCTTTTCGATCTCTACATCAACCTCCCAGCGAATAGAGGAAATGGTAATGTTAGGGGGAAGAATGTGCATTTGCTCAAACTGATCTATATCCTTATTGTCACCCTGATACATTCTTAAGAGGGCATCTGCTTTAGTGTTCCTAGAACCTGGACGGTAAGTGATACTAAACTGAAATCAAAAAAAGAACAGGGACCATCGAGCTTGATGAGCGTTGAGATGTTTGGCACTATGAAGATACTCTAGGCTTTTATGGTCTGTTAATACCACAAAGGGATGATTAGCACCCTCTAACCAGTGCCTCCATTCTTCTAGTGTGAGTTTCACAGCTAATAACTCACAATCTCCAATTCCATAATTTCTCTCTGTAGGAGTAAGTTTATGGGAATAAAATGTGACAGGGTAAAGTTTCTCTGGGTTACCAGAACGCTGAGAAAGGACGCTATCCCAGTCTCCGAAGCATCTACTTCCATGACAAAAGGCTGAGAAGGATCAGGATGTTTTAAAACTGGAGCTGTGGTAAAAGCTTCTTTAAGTGCACAAAAGGCGCTCTCAGCTTGTTCGGTCCAAGTGAGTTTTTTCGGGTTACCTTTCAAGAGGGCAGTAAGGGGAGCGGCAAGTCTGCTAAAATCTCTAATGAAACATCTATAGAAATTTGCAAAACCCAAGAATCTTTGTAGCTCCTTTACAGAAGTTGGAGCGAGCCAGTTTACTACTGCGTCTACTTTTTGGTCGTCCATAACCACCCCGTTAGCACTAATGATGTATCCCACAGAAACTACAGATTGCAGATGAAACTCACACTTCTCACCCTTTACAAACAGATTATTGTCCAGGAGTGGCTTCAGAACAGAAAGAACATGTTCAATGTGTGTGTCAAAGTCAGGGGAGTAAACCAGAATATCATCAATATAGGCAATAACGTACTTCCCTATCATGTCCCTTAGGACACCATTAATGAAGGCCTGGAAAACAGAGGGGGCGATAGAGAGACCAAAAGGCATCACTAAGTACTCATAGTGCCCCCTAGTGGTCACAAAGGCAGTTTTCCATTCATCTCCCTTTTAACTCGAATGAGGTTGTAAGCACTTCTGAGGTCTAGCTTGGTAAAGTATTTAGCTCCCCTCAACTGTTCTAGTGCTACAGGGACCAGTGGAAGAGGATAAGGGTATGTTTTGGTGATTTGATTGAGTCCTCTATAGTCTATACACGGGCGTAGACCTCCATCCTTTTTCTTGACGAAAAAGAATCCAGAAGCTGCGGGTGAAGTGGAGGGTCTAATGAATCCCTGATCTAAGGCCTCCTGGATATATGTTTCCATAACGTGTTCTTCTTCTTGTGTCAAAGGGTAAACTCTAGACTTGGGAAGGACTGGGTTTTCTATCAGGTCTATGGCGCAGTCATAGGGGCGATGAGGGGGTAATTTAATGGCATTGTTTTTGTTGAAAACCTCCTTGAGGTCTTTATACTCACGGGGAATTTCTATAGCAACCTCAGCATTAGGGCTTTCTATGGTGGTGGACCTGACAGTTACTGAGGGGGAAGCTATACAAGTCTGTAAACAGGTTTCTGACCACTTCAGCAGCTCAAGCTCAGGCCAAGATATGGTGGGGTTATGCTTCTCAAATTGCACTGGTTTTGTTCTCTTTGTGATCGTTCCGACTCCAACAGGACCTCCATCCAAGGCAGCCACTCTCAAGGGGGTTTTCAGGTCCTCCACAGGGATGTCCAGCTGTTCCACGAGACGAGAATGGATGAAGTTCCCCTCTGCACCAGAATCTATAAGGGCTGAAATCACAAGAGAGACTTGATGACAGCAGACAACTACTGGTAATTGAAATGATTTGGAGTAATCTCCACGTGCTTTCCAGGGGTCGGTGCCAAATGTTTGAGTGGACGGATCCTGCAGTCACGGAGGAGATGACCAGCACCGCCACAGTACAAACACAGGTTCTCTCTTATACATCGGAACCTCTCCTCCTTAGACAGACGTGATGAATCGCACTGCATGGATTCCTCCACGTCTTTGTGCTCAATGGGATCAGGGTGTGTCTTCGCTCTTGCTTGATCAGTCTTTTGTTTACGTCGGTCATGAATGAGTTGTTCCAAGCAGATGGAGAGAGTGATCAGTTGGTCTAAAGTTAGCTCATCGTCCCTACAAGCCAGTTCGGTCAGAACTTACTGGTTAAGTCCCTGGCGAAACATCACGAGCAAAGCTGCTTCGTTCCATCCACTGCTTGCTGCT